TATGTCGATTCCAAATTGACATAAATTCCAAACTGACATATGTCAATTTAGAATTGACATAATTCCAACCTGACATATGTTAATTTGGAATCAACATATGTCAATTTAGAATCGACATAAATTCCAACCTGACATATGTCAATTTGGAATTAACATATGTCCATTCGGAATTGACATATGTCGATTCTAAATTGACATAGATTCCAAATTGACATACAACATTTCTGTGTAGAACCCCCGATTAGCAACTGAAGATCGCCCTCTCCATCATCGATTTTGGCTCGAACCTGCCTTACGTTGTGGGAATCGGCTTGCAACTGAAGAATGCCACTGATAATGGAAAGCACTTCCTTCGCCCGTTTCATATCGTCGCCATATCCGCACGAAATCACATCGGAGATCTCTATCGATAAGTGCTCTTGAAGACCAGACCATTTAATGAATTGCCAAGATAATCCGGTTGTCACTATCCCATAAACGTTTACATTCGACTCTTCTTCGCGCTTGCGCTTGCCAAGTTTCTGGGAAGTAGGGTGATACAATTTGAAGAGATAAATAAAAATAACTATAACAATAAAATGAAGTCAAGATAAACTGTAATGTATTTGATTACCTCCGCCGCAGTGTGGAGCTGTACGAGATTCTGCGTCATGCCTTTTTGGATATCTTCCATTTTGGCCTCTCACCAGAATTGCGAGAAATCCAAAGACGAAGATCACGTAGTCTAAAAAGCCATAACCGCGCGTTCCGTCGAAGTCCTGTTCTACTGCCAGCCGCAACGATGGATAATCCTTTCTGAGTATAGCAACTGCCTTGTGCATAAAAGGATGAAATTTCGGGCCGTGGCTTTATTGGCGTTAACATCGTTATGGAACGACGACGCAATATCCTTGAGGTTATTTACGAAAGTCTTCTCGTTATCATCGGTGAGTTCTTTAGCGCGAGATTTGATTTGTACTAAACAACAGGACCAAGTTATATAATATGATAATGAAGCGGATTCATAAAAGAAAGACAGTATAACTATACCTATATTAAGTTTAGGCATCGCAAAAAGTGACGGATATCGGTTGTGCAAGATTTCATTAAGCACCTCATTCAAGTTCCAGTCACCGTATGGCTTTTTGCCTGTCAAAGAGGGAAGGGATATGTAAACATTCATGTCGGTGCTGCAAATTCTCTATAAGTTAAATTAAACATACCTTTGATTCGGACAACGAGATCGACAATGATTTTTTTTCGATCATTTGGCGTGATTTCTTGCAACAAACAGTCGAAGGCGACCTTATCTTCGATAATTATCTTTTTTCGTTTCCTGATCAACAAAGTAGATTTCATCCTCCTCTTGCAATTTTTTGAATTTATCTCTGGTCTTGGTAAGAAGCATGTCCCATCTGCCGGTTGAATGAGTCAAGAAAATCTCGGCTGAAGCTTTCAGGCTCCTGTTATCGGACAGAGGATATCTCACGACCAAAGGAGATACAGCAGTTGCTCTCAAGTGTTGAAGCTGAATATCACTGCGAAGAGGTTCGTTGTCATCGCCATCGTCACCGCCACTGTCGTCCTTGCCATCGTTCCCGCCATCGTCGTCGTCATAATGACTTCTGTCGTAATCACCGAAAAATTCGAGGTCAGCCGGGTCAATTTTGAGAGTTTTAAGTCGTCCCTTTTTGCAGAGCTCTGTCGCAAAGTCATCCAAATTGTGACTCATATTCCAATCAACGATAGGAAATTGAGTGGCTCTCTTCTTATCCTCAAGTCGAATCCACACACTCTGAGCCATAATGAAATGAGATTTCGCTTTTGAAATAGGAGGGTTTCGGGGGAGACACGTAGAATGATGAATGAATGAAAGAAAAATGACGTCAAATCAAATTGCCAAGCCACAAGATTAATATTACGACTCTTGAATTCTTTACAGAATCTCCATCTTATTGAATGGGTATTTTGGGCTGGAGCGGAATTCAGAAGGGATTGCTTTTCTTTAACTAAACTCGTGTATATGTAGTGTGATGGTGAGGAAGATATTTTTAGAGTACGGAGAGTCGGAGAATATTCTGCGTCTATAAATTGTGCTAGTGCACTGGTTCTTTCTTCTTTTTTTCCCCCCTACCATACTCACATAAGAAACTGATAGTCTTGTCTTGTTTGCTCCCCAACAAACATTCGCTTTTCCAAAAGACCTACTTTTTGTCACCATGGATGCTGTGCACCGTCTGATGGGCCCTCTGGTTTTATAGTGACTGCTAACTATCTGGTAGATTATTTCAAAATAAAAACCATTTCTATCTTCGCGTAATCCCTATATACAAGAAACACTATGACAATGTAGGAACACCACTTGTTTTCATACCAGCTACTCCCGAACAAATAGAACTAACTAACAGTGCTTTGCAACCTACCGCTGATAATATTATTGCTGAAAAAAGTGAAGTGATTGCTAGGTTACATAATGAACTTCATCCTAGAAGTATAACGTTATCCATTAAAAACACTTAGCTAATGATATCAAAGTCATGGATTCTAAAATTTGAGCTCAATTAGGACAGTTATTTCAGGAAGCTTACTATCGAAAATGAAATAAAAACCACGTGCTAAGTTGGAAATATACCCTCTTTGATTAATTCCAAATACTTTTATTACCATAGGAATAACCTTATAGTTTGTATGCTAGCGCTAAGAAAGAGAAAAACGTCATCCTAATTGCACTTGACGTCAGATGTTCACTTTGTCTGGTTTTGTTGCAGCACGCCCCATATAATCGTTTTGGAAAACTAGTCTAACTAGAAAAGATATAAACAGAGAAGCGTTGAAAAAAGTCGTTAGATTTGAAGAGCAGTTGGCAGGTAAAGACTTTGATATAGAGTTACTTAGAAGAAGGCTATATGTTTATGAAAAAATGCATGAAAATTAAAAAAACCCCCCAGGTATTGCTTGACCGATACTTGTTAGTAATACTAGTATTTGATTGTTTCGAGATATATTATAAATATTTTGTCATATAATCTTGAGGAAACTCTATAAGAGAACACCTCTATCATGGACATAATTTGGCTGTCCCGACTGTGTTCTTTTATGGAGGTTCGACTGTATGTGCCAATTCTATTAAAAATATGCTCGATATAGCGGATATCACGTGAAATAGCGTTATAACGGAGTCCGTAGTAAAAAAATCTGACCAGCCAATCAAATTGTACCAAATTATTCGCGTGTGACCCTTTCTCCGAATGAGCAAAATCAAATGTATCAGCGGTCAATAAAGATCTTACATTGAAATCAAATGTATCACTTAAAAGGTATTAAAGAATTGATAATGGATAAGATTTGTGGTTTAGTAAACTTTCAACATTCTGATGATCCGCTTCCATGAGACCCAAAAAACACAAAATATCTAACAATCCAAAGCGAATTACTTTATCAGGCGTACAGAAAAAAGAATTATGCAAAATGAAACAAGATAACCCAAACTTGACAGGTGTACAAATAGCGAAGGAATTTGGAATAAGTGAGCAATCTGTGTCAGACATACTCAAACGTTCTGAATTTTGGTTGAATCTTGATGATGGTTCTGCCATGACTCAAATTAAGTGTCAAATTATCCTAATATTGAAGAGGCGATGTCTATGTGGGTCTGAATTACTGAATTTAATGCATCTGCAGGTTGAATTACGAACTTTAAAAGGAGAAACACTCTTTCTTCATATCGGCGCAGAGGAGAAATCGGCAGTGCACCTTTACAAGATATTCCACGTTACCGAGATGAACTTCAAACCCTTCTTCAGAATTATGAACTCAAAAATATTTTCAATTGTGATTAATTAGCTCTTTACTGGCGGCCTGAGCCAAGCAAGACACTTGCCTACGCTCCTGTTTTAGGAAAGAAAAAACCAAAAGATTGAATAATTCTTTTGATTACTTGTAATGCTACCGGCGATGAAAAATTACCTCTTTTCTTTGTTCACAAATACGAAACACCGCGTGCACTTCGTGGCATCGACAAAGCCACTCTTCCTGTCTGGTATTATTGGAATAAAAAAGGGTGGATGCAGAGAAGTATGTTTAATCATTTTTACAACAATTTAATGAACAGATGAGGCATGCCCAACGAAATATTAATCTTCTCCTTGACAATGCTTCGTCGCATAATGCAGAAACCATTCAAAATCTTTCTAACATTTATGCACACTTTTTACCGCCCAACACAACGTCTTGCCTTTAACCCATCGTCAAGGATCGGTTACAGTCTCAAAGTAAATTTCCCATATGAACTTTCACTTTATAAACAACTGAATTAACTTTTATCGTATTTTCCTGTAGGCACAATATCGACGCATTTTATGTCAAAACCGTCTTGATGCTTACGATGCTATTACTGAAGAAAATACAATTCCCTCTGTCATTACTATATAACTTTGCAGCTCGTGCATGGAAAATTGTTACGGCAAATACAATTATCCATAGCTGAAATAGGGCTAATATTCTTCCTTCAACGGCAAACAATCTTGATTCTACACCCGAGGAAAGTGAATTAGAAACGGTGATTGTCAATATTATTGAACAATTACCAATCGATGATCCTTTGGAAGCACGAGAATTTGTCGAAATAGATGATTTCATGGGTGTTGAAGAAAGGGTGACTAGATGATAGCATAGAAGTGATAAACGAACAGGGCGGATGTGAATCAGAAGAGGATATAGAAATGGAGTCAAAACCAATGATGCGATTATCGGACTCGATAATATATACAGCAAAACAATTTAGGCATTAGCGCGTCATTAATGAGGGATCTGCAAAGCCTTAAAAAGCTCATTATATACAAAAGCATAGAAAAGAAGAAACAAGCCACGCTGGAGAAATTTATCAATTTTATTGTTGATTGATTTTCCTTGCATAAGCCGTAGTAATGTGAAGAAGCGGTAATAGAGAGAATTAAGATTGTTAAGACAAGAAACTGATTATACTCTCTGCATAAATCCGTTAGTTTTTGTTATTTTTGTTTTCTTGAAACATATTTTGAATTGTTAATAAAAATTGCATTAACAGAGTACTACATGGTTTGTTATGATATCCGGTATATTGTGAAAACTTGAGTTAGCGGATCTCTCGATTTAACGGAGAAAAGAGTCGGAACCGCTGCCTCCATTATATTGAGTTTCATTGTGTATAAAGAATTTCTTGACAGGCGTTAAAATACATGTTTATATCAAGTTACTATTACTCGAATTACAATCTGGAAATCATATTTCGAAAAATCAGAAATAGGATTTCTTATCAGTCGCTTGACGGTAATCAGAATCACAATGCTTTATTTATACACGCAATTAAACAGTATTTCAATGTTATTTATACGGAGTAATGTATATTTATTTGGTATTCGGCAATATAACAGTAAATGCAGGCTGGGGTGTCATGTCAATTGTTTTAATTCTACATTATTGGAGTCAGTTGAGTTTTTATCAGATGTCCCGATCTCATTATCGTTATTATGACTCCAACTATGCATATATGCGATAACAATTACAAGCAAATTATTCCTTATGCTGTTAAGACTTGCTCTTTAGCCATTAGACAAACTATAATTTGTAAAAAACTATACACTCTTGGAAGGGTACGACTATAATATAACGTCACAATAATATTTATTGACAGCAAAGTGTTGTGATATAACAATTTTGAAAAAAAAAACCCCCCAAACAAAACCAACAAACAAAAGCCGGTTATTATGGATGTTTACACGATTTTGCTTTGTTGTCATTCAGATTTCCGAATACCGTATTCTTTGGAAAATAAGCAACACTTTTTTGTTATAGTGTTGCTTATTTTCGGGTAGTTTAATAGAACGAAAGAAATTACCACTGACTTCGTTATTGACGAGGATGATATCATTGACATCATTGTATCACGGATTAATCATTTCCGACAATTTTCTTTATTGTAATAATAAAATAATCGATTGAATACATTTATAAAGGTAAATTATTTATTCTGAAGTGTTGCTTATTTTCGGGTGTTGCTTATTTTCGGGTGTTGCTTATTTTCGGGTGTTACTTATTTTCGGGTGTTGCTTATTTTCCAAAGAATACGGTAAGTTTATTCCTACGTCCAAGTGTGCCTAAAAAGCAAGCAATAACAATGAAAAAGTATCCCAATATTAAATTTCTAACAACAAAATTCCATATCTGACAAATGAAGGCCAAACCAATAAATTACCTGTATATTCTTTCTACCCTCTCACATGATTGAATAATGGACAACAACCTTTCCACGTTAATATCACCATTAATAGTAATTATCGATTGCCCGTGACTTGTAGCGATTGTTATCATGCTTGCGCTGCTGGAAAAGGTAGTAGTAGATTGTGTTTGACCCGATGTTTGGGAGATAGGACAACGAATGGAGGGTTCCCTGTGGTCATTCAAGTTATGATTTCTTGTTAAATTTTCAACGTATCTGTAATCCAACGGTTCATTTACACCCAAACGAATGCTATTATGGTTGAGAGGGCAGGTATTAGAAAAAGAAAAAGCTTGACTAGGAGGCTGGGGAGATGCTTGACTCGGAGGTTGATTGGAATGGCTGGCAGTTAATAAGGCCGTACTGATTATTTGATCCGGTGGAAAACGGTTTGCGTAATTCGGGTCTGTACCGTGCATCTGATCCCAAGGAAGGCTGTTTGTATAGTTAGGGTCCATACTATGTCCCTGATCAGATTGAATGTTGTACGTATTGGTTTCATAAATCGATTCATTATTAAAACCGGTCATATCCATAGAATGAGTATA